TCCATGTGTTTCCATTATATGACCCAAGATAATAAGACTTAAGACACTGAATTCCCATTTGGCTGCGTTTATGATAAAGGAATAAGGATCCAGGCGCCTGAATAATTTTCTTAGGTGACACATCGGCACACACCCGGTAGAAACGTGGACAAAACTGAGACCACGTGTAACCTGATCAGTTAGTCTTTGGATGATTTAGATGGTTATTTCCGGCCGTAGGACACGCGGGTAAGCGTAGATAGCTTGAGAGGAGCTTTAAGAGCAACTTTAAATGCTATACTGGATTCGGTCGGTGGCAAACACGAACCATACCCATCTTAGGAAACACGCACTTCCCTGCAACAATAATGTTAACTCCTGAATGTGCGGAACTTGATATCGATCCAGGACTTTGTTCGAAATCTAACCTGATAGCCTCAAATGATCTAGATGACTTGAGAAGACCTTTACCGTTAATGTAACATCAAACGGTTCGCTTGACGGCTATGTCCTGAAATAAATGGTTCGCCGGCTTGGGAATTGTCTCTGAATGGGAGATTTGGAGCAGTCAGGAGCTGGAAAAATGGCGAATGGGCTGAGGCTCGGTTTTAGCTCATACGGACAGCGGGCGTTGATGAGATGGAGAACTCGTGCGTCTACTAGGGACCTGCCATACGTCTGGAAACCAGCTTCCAGTTGTTTGGTGGGAATATCGGCAGTGGTAAATACCCTATGAAAAATCTGGTGTAGACTCAAAGTAAATGCGACTTAGTGCAAAATGAATTTTATACCGGTAGCATTATTAGTAGTTGCAAGAGGCAGAGAAGTACGTTAGTTAAAATCGGCGGCTGTTGGTAAAACCACATTGACCTGGGAACTAGCTTCGATGGAGAACTTAATAGCTTTGATTCGGCCCCGGAATAAAGCCCCAGCTTGCCCACTTCCCAGTGCCTGAGGAGCGGGCTTGGAAGCTAATAGTTCTGGACACCCGGGATTGAGGATGGTACCAGCAAAAATCATAAGGGATAGTTATGGCGACTGTGGGAGTTTAAGGGACGCGGACGTCTAATTTGGTGATGTCCACCGTTGCCAATGTCGTTGATCTGAACACTCAATTACATGACCGACTATATGGTAGTGATGTTCATCAATCAATCCTGATTGCAGGACGAAGATAACCTTTCCGCTTCGTCTTGGAACTGAGAGCCTACTGCCCACACAGACGGTTGCATGACGAATGACAGTTAGTAATAATAAAAAAACAAATATCTTTCCCCCGGTATGGATTTAAAGCAAGCACAAACAGCAGGGATTACTGGTACAGTAAGACCCACGACGGCTTAGAATAATAATAATAATAGTAGTAGTTTTATTGAGCACCCATGTGGGTAATGTCAGTATCCTCCGCTATCTGTTGCTTCGTAACATGGATAAGGAGCAATAAATACGCGGCCAGTTGGATTTGTTCAGAAAGTACTGAAACGGCAAGGCCATAATTCGGAATACATAGTTTCACCCGGGAAAACCACCTAGGAACAGGAGAGAGGAAGAAGAAGAAGAAGAAGAAGAAGAAGAAGAAGAAGAAGAAGAAGAAGAAGAAGAAGAAGAAGAAGCGGAAGAAGGCACAATAACGTGCGAAGTGTCTGTGTGCATGTGAATCGAAGACTGCGGCAGCCCGAGACAGGCATACTCAGGAATATACACCTGACAACTACGCTGAAAGCTCGAACTACTTGTTATTCTTCCGGTGCTCGACGTCCTCACCTCGATCTGTCTGGAAGATTTTTTCAAGGCGTGTACGTTATCGGCGAGTTCTGAGGGATTAACTTCGAGACAGCCTGCTGTCTCTATGGCATTGGAGCGCGGTACTTACGTTCAGCCAGAGGACAAAAAGCGCCCACCGTATGGAAACCTATCATACTAGTAAAGACCACATGCAGTCAAGGAGCGTAATTATTTAAAATTGCAGTCTATGTCGCAAAGCTCAAGAGAGACGAGGAAATAATTGAAAAACTAGATATCTTATCATGTAGCATTACAGCGGAGAAACACAAGCACAACTCAGTACCACCATACGCCCACGTACCCTTATCTTGATACTAAGTCATAAATTCATCCTCCCTTGTGGTGAGTCCGGAGATCCTCAACCTTTTTTCGCATCTAACGAAGAAATGTCTGTTCACGACCTTTTTTAATTTTCACTGCCCTTCCTTGACTGATAATGAATAATCGAAAAAACACTTTGGCGGACTAGAACTTCTTCATCGTTTGCATAAGTCTCATCACAGAAGTTATGTATGCGGCTTACGTAAGCTCTGTATTCTATTCGGACCATCGTCATATAAAACAGGATTCGGGTCCGAATCTCAGATGGGCAGCCCGCGGTTAGGCACCACCGACTGATGGCCACAAATTATCCAGAACAACCATTCCAGCGGTTCTGTCTCCGTAAGTAAAGTTTCTCAGCCGACAACTATTGGGGTCGGTCTGTTCGCATAGCATAAGCCTGAGAAGTTATGCCAAAGCTAAGACTGATAGAGTTCGAAATAATGATCCGTAAAGGCATGATTTTGCCGGCAAATTTGACGAGGCCTTCAGGCGTTTTTTATGAAAGTGTTAATGTTGCTTAAACGCTGTGACGCAGGCATCGTAATAGAAGCTGGTAGAGGATAGTGGCACGGAAATTACGCCCAATGGCAAACTGTTGCATTCGTCTCAGCAATCTTTGTAATTTTGCATCACCGAGTTCTCCGGCTCTGTGGGGTTGACGTAGCCAACAGTCCTCCATCATGACCTCCGCAGGGTCTTTATGGTGATCCCTTTCAGTTTTCCGTGCAGGGCAATGAGCAAATAGATCACACAGTTTTTTATGCATCCGACAGACAAACATCTCTAAACAAATTCTAATTCCGTTTTCTGATTTGTGGTGTGGCATGTTTTCGATTCCGCTTCCCAGTGAACAATCCTGCCCTCTACGCATCGTGGCCAGATAGGGAGGAAATATGAGTGAGACATTGGCTGTAAGAAGTTTTGATTGATCGCATCACCTTAACACATCGAGGTCAAAAACTGGCGAGTTGGCAGTTGCCGATAAGCTAGGATGTATGTGTGCGTCCGACAGTCTGATTGTAAGATTTGCAGCACGTTGTGAAAACATCCGTCGAATGTCGATTTACTTGCCTCTCTCGGTTATAACATGTCTGGGCTTCACCTCACGCGTGCCGGAAGTGAGCCCTTTGGAAGAATGTCCTACAGGCTACCCAAATCTTGCATTCGCCTCAATTGTACGTCCAAAACAAGAAACAGACGACTCAACCTTGTACGATGGAATACCAAACCGAAATAATCGTGTCGGACTAAAACCCACTTAAATAAGTACAGTAGACATTCTTTATATGTCAGATGCTTGGGGGCCTTCACACGATCCTTACCCGAGAAAACTTCAGAGAACTATGGCGCAATAGCAGCACAATGGTTGATTCCAAGCAAACCCAGACATTCCCTCAAGCTAGGGACTCCCGGCATAAGAGCCGGTTGGAGACTAAGAGGAAGTCAACAATGTTGATTCAGCTTCGCAAACGAATGTCCCTTATCGACTTAGTTGTAGACTAAGTATTCAAATATTTAAGTAAACGCACAGGTGTGTGAAATGTCGTTGTTTGTTGGTTCGAGGACCGGACTTCCAGATACGAAAAAAAGCTTAGTTCCAGGAGGCAGATGAGAAACAGAAAACTCGACCAACTGAAAAAGAATTTTATTTGCTCCATGTTTTGGACCCATATTCGAGTCCATCATCAAAGACTGCTGTCTCCGATGGGGTGTATGAAAACATTTACATTGGAGCCAGCCTCGATAAACCCCACATGCTGGAATACCGGATTTTCTCTCTACTCTCTTGGAGTTGGTAAGCGGAAAAAGTCGTCCAGCATCTGCTTGCCTGTAAAATAATAACCTTTGAATATCGAAATCTGACTTATCGAGAATTCTGCCGATTGGCGGACCTTGATCCTTCTTGGCTTCGCTGATTACAAAAAGCGACCATCTTTACTTTCCAGACAATTAAGTTGCCGCACTTTTGGTTTACTGTCGTCACTTTCTCACGTCGTGGTCAGCAGTTCATGATCTAGGTCGTGGTCATCCATCACGCCGTAGTTTTCTTTCGCATGATTGTTTCCAATGTCCAAGTTCACTTCATATTGCTTATATGTTAACTGAACTTGGACTTCAACGTCAGTGGCTTTTCCACTCTATCTGAATGCACGCTGGATAATAAATCCACTCATATATGTAAACCGGCATTCAGTATTATACTTATGCAGAAGGAGGAATTGTTAGGAGTAGCCGGATTTCCGCTGGTGTACAAATAACCTGAACTGGTAAGTGCGAAAGTGCGCGAGTAGTGGAGCACCGGCAGGAATTCCACTCCCACCTCCTTTAGCACGCCCATTCGGAGATCAAAACAGGTCCGCTGACTCGCTGATTGGTTGACTATAACGTTGCTTGTGAGCAATCTCACACCTAGCATGTAGATTGCTTTGACAAGGACTGTTTATGTGCGACTGCGCGCTCCCGCCTACCTATTGGCTTTTCCATCAGCCAGACCGTTGCACTAGCCGTTAATTGGACAAATGGGGGCAGGCAGACAGAGGGGAGACATTGTATCTCTCAGGACAGAGCCACACGCACGCACACCACCGTCAGCGTGTACACACATTAACATTGCGCTCTCTCTCACCCAAATTCCTCTCCTCCATTCACACTCGTCCGAGCTTGTGTGCCCGACCGGAAAACAAAAGCGGTCGTCGCTCCTTATTTCACAAATCGCTTCCCGCGTCTTGAATAGTTCAACCCTTTCTCCTTATTGCTCCTCCACCAAGCGCAAACGCACACGCGAAACAATTTATATCACATTACTTTTCGAAATGCCCGTTTTCCTTCAGGGACGCGGCACCAAAGACGAAAACGACAGCCCTGGGCGTTCGCATCTAAGGACCTCATCAAGGAGTGCTGTTGAATTGTGAATGTCAGCTATAGCAACGACCGCCACCGCCACCCCCGCTATCCCCGCCAAACCCCTGACAGACAACAGCCCGGAGGCGCAGACGAGGACCAATTTCTTTGCCAAAGTAACCTCCTCCTCAGTGCCCTGGCAGGGTGTCGCTAATCAGCATCGGCAAGCGGCGTCAGCGCCATTCCAAGTGACGATACCCAACGACTTTAGCAAACTCCCCGTCTCAACAGCCTCCGTGCTTGAGACCTCCTCGTTGTCTTCCTCAACGCATAGTAGCGGTACAGCCTCACCGCACAGCCAGCAACCAGCTGCCGACGGCAATCGCAACGTTTCAGACCATCCATTGTTTAGTTCTACTCTTCCCTGGTTATCCAGTCTGGCGGAGCTTCGAAAAATGGGAGGCAACTTCGTCAACCCACCTATGGTCCCTGCAGGTCCGACTCCAAACGACGTCCTTCACATGTTCAAACAGATACAAGCTGCAGACCCCTTCAACGGACGAGCAGGCACCTGGAGGAATGCCGACTTTGACGACCAACAGCTGCAGTACGTTGCCGCACTAGCCGCAACCATCACAGCCGTTGTCACCTCCAACAGTTTCGTCCCACCAAAAGAGGACCCGACGCTGTGTCCTCATACGGCGAAGAGCCTTCCAAATAAATCCTCCCCCAAGTCCTGGCCTTTTAACAGCACAATCCCCCCCGTCGGGAGAATTACCGACCACCATCTTCCCTCCCCAGACACCCTGCAGTCTCTTCTGGCTACAGGCAGTAGGGTTGTTCTTCCAGCAGAGGGCCCGCTTTCTGGCATGCGGTTGGGCGGATGCGAGAACGGTTGTACCAGTCCGGGTATTAACCGTATTGGTGAACATCCCTTCCCCCTCTCCCCTACTAAATCCTGCTCTGCTCGTGGTGGTTCTGTGCTGCAGTCATCGCAGCATATATTACCACATTTGGACCCATTGAATTCTCCATACCCCCCTCTCCCAAGTGCCTCTCCTGGGCGATTTTCCGGCGGACTTAGCCACCCTTTTATGCGTCTGAACAGTGAGTTGAGCCAGTTTGTGAGACGAGTTCAAGATGAGGAGTCGGAAACGAAGAAACATGACTGTCCCAAAGCCGAACTCGCGGAACCTGAGCTCTGGAGGGCATTTCACAAAATGACAACGGAAATGGTCATTACCAAATCTGGAAGGTAAGTCGTTTATGTGCAGCTCACCTATTCACCATTTATAGCGGGAAAAGGCTCATTCAATTTGGTGCTCACTTTTCGGCGTCTCTGTGCTTTAAAAGAAGTCTTTAGTACTGCGCTCAGGTAGTGTAATGCTTCCTCGTAGACTATGTGGCTTCGAGCTCGCCCGATCTGGCTAGCCTCCATGATATTACAAATATCATCCTGCCACTGCCTCTGGTTCGGCACCGCTGACCATATACAAGCGCTGGAGGGGAGATCAACTCAAGACCTGGACCCATGAAGACTGTCAAGATAGGGGGGCAATTCTTGAATTTTTGTATTCCGGTCTCTGTCGTTGTCCAGATCCGCTGTCACAGATTGTCACGCGAGGGAGGTAAAATCCGCTACGTCATTGGGGCCGACTAGATCCGTCAAGAGCAGAGGCATACAAAGTATAGGTACAAGCACATACTTCTGTCCGAACACTCTCTCAGGTTGTGTGCATGCAGGCGATGGGTGAGGTTGCCTTGGGTCTTAGAGGGCTCTACCATCCAATATGTAGCAATATGACTGCAGGAGCTGCTTTGGAATTTGATAAAAACAATAAAAAAGTTGACAAACTGTATCGTCAACAAAAACGTTCAAAATACCCCTAAAATGTTACAGTAAAATGCAACGATGAGTCGAAATCCTCCCAGTTGCGATCATGAAGCCGGTTCGAAAATCAGATTTTGGCTTACACCTGGTTCGAAAGGTACTGCAGCCTACATGATCTCGACGGTTGCCTGCGGTTCAAAATCAAGTGTCAACACCGTCACTACCCGACCACGCTACTAAGATAGGCAGCAAACATTTCAGATTTAATTTCATTCATAGCCAGGGAACAGGCTTTTATCAGCAGTCGAGGTCCTGTTTTGGAGTTTGCTTCCTTGAAGCAATTCTTCTAGAAGGGAAGTTATGCGCTGAAATCGAAAATCAGCTCTGACGACCTAGATAACCTTAGCTCGCGTTACACTTTTTTATCCTGTCAGTAAGGGACAGATGAATTGCATTTCTTTATGTCAAATTCGTCTCACACTGGCAAATGTGGTCACATTAACAGAACAACTCACCACAGAGCACACTTACGGGGACCGATAAACATTCCTTGACACTGAAAACAGATTTCTGGGTTTCCCTTTGAAGAAAGCTCTACATTAAAAAGCACATGCGAGCACACCTAAGGTTCAAACGCTTGGATGGCGCTAATATAAATTTCGGGCTATGTCGGTTTTACGAATAAAACATAGAGGCGGCACTTTAATAAGCAGTTTCGGAATATAACTGTCATCTACGGGCCTGAAGTTGGTGACTGCATTGGCCACATAAGTGGTTATACTTTGAAGACGACTTACTCGAAGTTTTCTCCCGTGCAGCTCAGATGACTATCATGCACGCCCGTGATTTGAAGGTTTTTGTCGACTGAGACCCATCCCAAGTACTGAGGACCTGTCGCAGCGCCTTTCAAGGCATTACTGTTTGCCCCCCACGAGGGTTCTTCAGACTTCGATTGTCTGGTTATATTTTTTTACTGTCATTCGGTAACCACATGCTTAGCGGAGAGGGAGAGAGAGGACTGACTGCGCTTATCTGCAATCACAAGGGGTCTGCTAGCAATCAGCTGTCAGCGGGCATTGCATTTGGAAAATAATCTACTCCGATGAGAATTACCGCATCTTCTTAATCTTAATTCCTACGTTTGTTTTACTTCTCTCCTTGTTGTCTTCTAAAATACAAAAAGTTGTGTACGAAAAACAGCTGATGATGCAGGAAGACAGGAGGGTCAGATCGATCAAAAAGTACACTTGCTTATGGATTAAAATGACCCTAAAAGACCAAAGGATGCTACATTGGATTTGAGTCAGCTTCTTAGTGACTTTGTTCCCTAATTATCTTGCTAGTTCAGATGAGACGGTCCTGGGACTGTAAACAACAGTCATCGCTCAATTGAACGTTTCAGACTGGGCGCTCGACAGCGACCCATTGCGGCTTGAAATTTGGTTTGTCAGAAACGTAGAATGCACAAAGTGCACTGGTGTGTCGTTCTTATAAGGGAGTAAAAAATACATAAAACCAAGTTCGGCAAGACCGGACTCTAGGGAGTTTTCAATCAAGGCGTACCCATATGTAACTGAATGGATAGCAGAACCTTAGTAAAACCGACCATACTTGTTGCTCATGAGTTCTCCTCTCTACGCCTTTTGCAAGACGGAGCGGCAATAATCATCCTAATTCTGGTGGCGATGAAGGCCATAAAACCAACACTTGAGTCTGTCGTGATTACTCGTGGTTCGTATCTGTCCTTAGATCACCAGCAGTAGCTCTACTTCACAAGTATATAATTCTCACACCGACGTTGCCAGTTATCTCAAGAAAATTAGGTGGCGAGTCTGCTGACATCAGGTTCAAAAGTCCTCTAGCATTTACTTGTCAGAATGACTAGCAACAGCTGTACGCCAGAGATCGGCTTTCCCAACCGCCTAAACGAGTAGGCTTCGGGGCTAAATCCAATGCTAGTATGTTATTCATGCCTAAATGAGCTTGCTTATGTGTAATTGGAGGTTGATTGGGGATTCGAGATGCTATACAAGTTCCCGCTAGTTAGTTTGTGGTTGGGTTGTGGCAAACAGGTCAAAGCTTCGCAAATTATATTCTTCTTTCTTATTTCTCTAAATTCGTCTCAGATTCTAGCTGGAATACTCATCTATAAGCTTTAAATCCGGACCTAAAAAGATTTGTTTTGAAGGATTTACTCCAAATTCTTAATTTATTGCCTCCGAAATTAAGCAAGACAACATCGTCTCGCACTGTCGCTATCGTAGAATTAAGAGGTGGTATAACTGCCTACTACTACTACTACTACTACTACTACTACTACTACTACTACTACTACTACTACTACTACTACTACTACTACTACTACTACTACTACTACTACTACTACTACTACTACTGGCTACTACTGGGGAGAATGACGCATGGGGCACGTCGCCGAGGAAACTAGCAGCGTTACTTTGGACACTTTATTTCCGGCTACCGTTCCAGACTGACTTTTCTCCAGTTGAACCACAGCAAACATCCGTCTTAGTCTGCCTTGAAGCGCAAAGGAGGGTCATGGGAATAGAGGGACTGTTTACTGATTGTGGCTACTTGTTGGTTACTTGGATTTATGTAGTTGCGATTTTCCTTGTCTGGCGACATAAGCAGCAGCAATTCTTCATACATGTATATGAAAATTCGAAGTTGGAGATTTTTTGAAAATCACAACTTGGTCTAGATTTTTTCATACCACCAAGTCTTCAAGAAATTCACACTTCTACTTCAATCTTCAAAGGATCTTCTGTTCATAAACGTGTCTCAACACGAGCACAACGACGCTCAGTTTTGCTCCCCTTCCTCAAACAAAGCTAATCAAGGTCAGCAAGTTACCCACTTACTGTCTTTGGGAGCCATAAAAGCCCAATAGTTCGTACTACTTGATTCCCCCCAGCCGAAGTTATAGTTACCGTCGACTCAGAGGCTTGTAGACATACCTCGTTCCCATATAAATCTACAGGCTGAATGAGAAGTTATCGAAAGCACGCGTAAACTGGCCAAATACTCTTCTAGATACGAGGAAATATAGAAAATGTTACCGACACCGAAAAAGTGGCCTGGAATGCAATTTTGAGTCAACTATCGTCAGCGAAAATTCGTGCCCCAACCACACATTAGAAAATTTGGGTTGAAGTGATCGTTCAATCTCCATTGTTTGTGTCGATAACACTTTTGGTTTGCTATCTTCTTTTAGTCATGCGACCGTCTGTGACGACGCTAGACCAGCAGTTGCAAATCAAAAAGTAATCGCCATGATGCCATTTTGAAGTCAGGCGTGACCAGCAAACGCTACGCACATGTGACTTTCAGCGGCATACCATGAAAACGAAGCAGTTGTCATTGTTCACATCTCAAACATTCATCTGCACGCCATGTCAGACACCCCTACTGTTGGAATGACTCCGTGACTAACTTTCATAATCCCAGTCGCCCACAACGTTCGCATGTTCTGTTTAATAAGTACAGTACTCCTTACTTTAGTTCCTATGCCATTGGTCAAAATATGATTTGTAAGTACTAGGCAAGTACCTGGCTCAAGTGACATGCATGGGTAAGTTGTACGAAATGACTTAGCTGTGGTATTTAGCATGAAAGGAGTTGGCGAATAAACCGGACTCTGCGCCACTTTCTCATGGTCCACAGACCGGCTAACTGTCGTCGTCTTCGTCCCCGACAGATAGTGAAGCCTCAAAAATTGATTTACTGACTGCGCTTCCATTTATAATAACTCAGAATTAGCAGGCCTGACAAGGGTGAGAATAAACGTGGTCTGTGCTACTACGAAGTTCACTCCGTCTGTCTATCTGCGAGTGGCTTCTCGGCAGCCTTCATTCACACCTCAAAGAGGCATCCATGAGACCATGGGACTTCTGTGTCTCGCTCTGATTTGGCTTGTGTATGAGCAGTGAGAAAATTTACAGTTTTATTTCGCTCACTCGGATTGTGAGAATTATGGCGCTTCGCCGATGTGTATGTGAGCAGCAGCAGCGGTTATTCACTCGCATCCATAGAGCGATGTACAGAAAAGTCCATTCACCATGTAGTGTCTCGTTGTTGACTCGACTAACCGCGAGAAACTCTGGGTTGTATCTACCTACCTATGTGCATGAGCGCCCGGACCCCCACTTGTCGTCCATCCAAATTGCAGTCACTAGAAAGGGACTTCTGTCCGCAAAACAAAGTCACCAACGTTCGGACAAACGCGTGAGCCCATCACCTAAAATAACAAAAGACTTTACTGCGCACAATGTAGTTCCTACAGCTTCGAGATCATCACATAACTATGAAAATTAGCAACAGGAGTTTACGCCACGGATCGCCGTACTCACAACCCTGGCTGCTTCATAGCACGCATTCAAGTCGCTCATCGTAACCATTTCATAGCCGATGTTAGTGACTGTCATGATAATGACTCGGAAAGTCAGGTCACTGAAACTGCCATTGAAAGCAGCCCTTACACGTGGACGCTTTCCGCGTGCCTGCATTCCCTATCCCAGCAGAAGTACTAGCATCTGAGAGGGAGAAGTGAGACCGCAGCGTCTGTTGGTGCGCTGCGCGTATGTGAAGCATGGCGGAAGTGTAGCCGGGTGCCGTCGAATGAACCGCGACTTATGAGCTGGTGCCATCCCTCCTCCTCCTCC